CGGAGGATTTTAAATTGGGTTTTTAAATCGGGTTTTAAGAATAATTTTAATTGCACAACTTTAAATATTGGTTTAATTTGGTTTTATCTGGTGGGGGGTTGTAAATATGTCTATGTTTTTAAATATGTTGTGAGCCGCCCTGAGTCCCGTTGGGAGAAGGGCGGGATATAAATCAAATAAAGATAAGATAAAAGAAAGATAATTGTTTTTACCTGTTTTTTTTATTATTCACTATCAGAGTCGCTTGAGATGGCAGCTATAGAAATTGAATAAATAAATCAATAAATATTAAGCCTTGGTGATGAAAGTTCATATGTATTTCTGGTTATTTATTTTAAAAGTGCTATGGGTTTCTCTCTCAAGGACAAACTGATCCTTAACCTAAATTACAGTGGTGCTGCCAAGCCTGTTTGCATTCTTTAGTGGATTTCCTTTCCAGTTCTTGTTGTTAATTGCGAAGTCGTGTCCCACCCATCGTGACCCCATGGACAGCGTTCCTCCAGGTCTTCCTGTCCTCTACCATCTTCTGGAGTCCATTTAAGCTCACGCCTACTGCTTCAGTGACTCCATCCAGCCACCTCATTCTCTGTCGTCCCCTTCTTCTATTGCCCTCAATCTTTCCCAGCATTAGGCCCTTCTCCAGTGACTCCTTCCTTCTCATTAGGTGGCCAAAGTACTTGAGTTTCAACTTCAGGATCTGGCCTTCTAAAGAGCAGTCGGGGTCGATCTCTTCTAGGACTGACCGGTTTGAACGCCTTGCAGTCCAAGGGACTCGCAGGAGTCTTCTCCAGCACCATAGTTCAAAGGCCTCAATTCTTTGTCGCTCAGTCTTTCTTATGGTCCAACTTTCACATCCATATATTGTAACTGGGAAAACCAGTTCTAGGGTTATACTAATAAGTTGTCTCTTTGGATGTATGTGGATAAGGTAGAATTTCAGAGTCAATATACTTATTGAATGTGTTCTGCTCTGGACTTGAAATGTTGGCTCTAATTGTTGCTTCATAGAACATTCTTGATCAAACTATGCTGTTAGATAATAAGCACTTCATATTCATCATTTGAGTGTACAGTTGTGATATGAGTCCTATTTTACACAAATTCCCATAACCTGGTGTTTTGTAGTACTGTTTATTAAGTATTGTCTTACGGTTTATTTTGGATTGTCCTTATCCAAGCAAGCTACCAACTAGCTCACAAATATTAGAATAAAGGCAATTATCATCCTACGTTTATCATCCAAAAGTTATGACTAGGACAGATTTTAAAGGCAAAAGAAATATTGGGCAGGGGAGGAATGTGATCATGGTCATTTCCTCAGAGTATTTAATAAGATTGCAGTACTTCTGACTCTACTTACAGAAATACGAGGGATGTTTTTTGGATACTGCTGGGATCTGCAAAAGCTAAATGTAAATATGAAGTAGGAGCCTTTCCTTTCAGTTAACTGATTCTTTTTGCTGGACATGCCACCATCTTTCTGTATTCCCAAACTGTTTTCCTTCCCAATGGCAGTTTTTTGGTTTGCCATCAAATTCAGTCATCCACAGTCTTACAGCTTACACAGGAGAATTAATCTTAAGATTCTTTGTACTTAGTTGACATTCTAAAATTGACAAAACCTCTTTCTGTAGGCATATGGCATAGAGCCTCATGTCTAAAATGCTTATCGCCTAACTCTAAATCAGGGGTCTTCAAACTTGGCCCTTTTATGACTTGTGGACTTCAACTCCTGGCTGAGGAATTCTGGGAGTTGAAGTCCACAAGTCATACAAGGACCAAGTTTGAAGACCCCTGCTCTAAATGTTAAGAGTCTTAGATGCTCTAGCCCAGTGGTTCTCAACCTGTGGGTCGGGACCCTATTTGGGGTCGATCGACCATTTCACGGGGGTCGCCAAGCAAGGCTGTCCGCCATTTTTTTTTGTCCGCCATTTTTTTTTGTCCGCCATTTTTTCCCCTTTTCGGGCGGGTGCCTTACCTCCCTTGGGCTGGGCCAGCTGGTGGTCGGCCTGCTCCGTCTCTGCCTCTTGCCAGCTACGCCTCGGCCGGCGCAGGGGGCGGAACCACGCATGTGCAGCACTCCCGGGCAGGGAAAATCCTCGACTTACGACCGGTTGGGTAGTCCTCGACTTACGACCAGTTTAGTCCTCGACTTACGACCGGTTGGGGTCGCGGCATTAAAAAGGTTGAGAACCACTGCTCTAGCCTCTGGTAAGAAATTGGAAGGAGATTTTTGATATTACTATTTTATCGGTGGTCTTTTGTTCCAAATATTTGCGATAGGGCTGTTTAACCAACATCCAATCTAATAAACAGCTTTTTGAAATTTAAGGAAAATATTCTTCTACTTAACACTTTCAGCATTTTATGAAGTTGTGTGGTCTAGGAGCAATAAGGTTGATCTGTGACAGCTAATTGGGTAAGCCCTTTTTTTGAATGTGCCCTATTACTTCAGAGGTTCCTTGCATTCAAGCAATCCTTGGAGAGTTTATAGAGCAATGGCCTGGAACTATATGCAACTGTGTACTCAGCCTTCTCTTTTTTGTTTACTAAGGGCAAGATTCCTTTGAGGCTAACCAAACTCTGTGATCCTTACAGTGTTACGTTAACACTTTTCCCCTGGTTTCTCTTCCCAAATAATGGTACCTTCTCAGTTAACCTAGTTTGTGATTCATGATTTTCCCATTGCTGGATTTGATGTTAGTGCTGAACAAAAAATATGTTAATGTGAGGTGTGGCCTTTGACTTTCTCAGATTTCTTTGTGGCCTGCAAAATAGTTGAAGCCATCTTGTTTTTAAACAATGCTAATTAATTTATCATTACATTGAAAATTAATTTGCATTGTTTAAAAATAAGATGGATGGGTTTTGCAGAATAGAAAAAAATCAGTTTAATTCTAAGTATAATACGTTCAACCAGAAGAGCTGGTCAGGTCCTTGGGGAGCGGAACCAGAAATGTTTAAAACTCAAATATAGATAACTAGTGCTGCCATCTGTCATAAATGGAAGTAGAGATGTGCAAGTATGTTTTTAGTTGAAAACAGCCATTTTGAATGTTGCAAGCATAAAAAAAAAAACTCGGCTATTTTGCGTGGCATCATCACATTTTGAGTGGGGCATGCTGAACACTTCTATCTTGAAAAGTTGCATCCTTCAATGGCCATTTTAATTGTTCCAGGCATGAATCAAAACACATGTGTTTTGAGAGTTTTGTCTGTGCGTGAAAGAGAATATTCCATTTCAGGCACAGCCATAAATGGACTGCTTTCTGTGAACAAATGGTCTAAAAATGAAAAAAATATTTCCTATATTCTCTGTGGCTAAGTGGGCTCCGAGAACACTAATGAAAACCATTAGTTACTCCTGCTGTGTGGCTAAAGCTGCTGGAAAAGTGTAAGTTTTTTTGAAACATAAAGGATACTTATTAAGAGTAATTCTGAGTGAGCCTTTCAGGTTCTTGTTTTGCTCATTACTTTTCAGTTGTGTCAGTAGTGTAGAAGTGCTCACTTTACTTACACTTTCTTCTGGAATGGTTTCAGCTTTACAAGTTTTGTTTTGCAGAGGGTTTTCCTCCCATTAGAGAAATCTACATTTCAAAATGTTTCCCTATTCTCAGATCTTATCTCACCTCTGCCTTGAATAGTTTTTGGCATCTGGAAGCACAGGGTACTGAGCAGAAAATGTTTCTTCCACTCTTGTGTGACCTATTTTGATGCCCTGGTGTTGAATCAGGTTACCTAATACAAACACCTAATATCCAAATTACATGCTGTTTATTTTTCAGGTTCACCTTTCCAGTTCAAGTTGTTCTTAAAGTGTGGCTTTTGATACTTCAGGACAGACTTTCTTTTTAGAGCTTTTCAGTGTGATTTCCTCCCCCCCCCCCACGTTTATGCCTCTGATCAATGAAGGCCTTGTAAATGTAGAGAAATATAAGAAGGTAGAGATGTGAGTTTAATCTCTCACAAGATTAAAGGCATTTATTTAACACTAGTGCGTCTTGTTAGCAAATAAAAATCTATGATGCAAACTTCTTGCCAAGCCGGATCTTCCTGCCTATCAGAAAATAACTCTTTAGTCGCTGGGCTGATTTCCAGTTAGGTATGGCCATTCTTTGCCATAAGGTTAGAACAACTAGTTAAGAATACCCTTTGGATGGAGGAGGGCAGAAATGCTTGTATTGTTAAGTAAAATGCTCATGCTGTTCCCTTGAGTAAGTAAAATACCTCTGCATATTGTTACAGAACAGTGGGGTGGAATCCCACCTAGAGAATAACACAACATATTGGTCTTGATTCTCAAGTTGGGGGGGGGGCTGCCTTCCTCTAACTCCACCCCATCCTTTCCTGGGAAGATCATTAAGGATGCTAATGCTCTTGCTTTCCAGCTGCTGAGTTGTGAAGTAAGGCTCCCAGGTGAACACAATTCCTCTAGGAGGCTTTAACTAGCCTTGCAAGAGCCTGCAATAATTGCACCATATACACCAAGCCAGTTTGGGTGTCTGTGATTGAAACGGTTGCAGTGTCTAGATTTTTCAGAGTAAAACAAAGAGGAAGAAGCTTGTGGGTTACATATTGAACAAGCTGGTGAGTCTCAAGTAGAAAGAATCACTTTTTAGCAGTGGTGCACCAGGAATTTGTTAACTTAACCTGTATCTTTTGGGTAATGTGTGTATTGCTGGATTGCATATTTTATACTGTAGCTGGAAATTGAATTAATCGATGGAAACAGAAGACTACATAGAGAGAAGGATATAAATTAGTCTGTGTAGAGATGTGTTTTCTTAGTACACAGATGAAGCAAATCTTGGACCTGGAAAATCTGTTTTCTGCTTCTGCATACAGTACCTTTTTGCTAGACCTTTAAGCTATTGCTTTAACTTCCCTGTTTCCTGATGTTCCTGTGCTTTGTGTTCCTTGCTGACTAGTACGTACAAAAATCAGATTTATTACATTGATTATTTAAAGTTCCTTTTACCTCAGAGGAAAAAAAAACCTAGGAATTCTGCAGAAGTGCCACCACAAAAGATGTAAATGGGAAAGGAGTTGATGTCATTTTAAAACTGCACTATGCACTGAGGATGCTGCTTAATGTGAATTGAACAAGCAGGTGGGAAGAGCTTGTCTATGAGAAGAAAAGTAGAGACGGAACACATCGATTCTTGGAAAAAAATCTGTTGAGGTCTTCTCCATTTGAAATGGCTTTCCTTTTTCCCTTTCTGCAGATTGTGTGTTTTGACGTAGAGAATTGCTCCTCACCAACTAGTACTATGGATGTTTTCAACAGGAACATAAATTTTGATGCCCTCTTCAAGTTCTCCCACATGTGAGTACCTGTTGCCAGCTTAATCTTATTGTGAGAGGATTTAGTTTCTTTCTTGATGTTTAGGAACAGAGGTGTGAGGTTAGGTGACAAGGCTGGCAGGACCTGGGTCGCTGGAGCCAGACCACCTCAAGTTTTTCTGCTTTCTTGAGAAAAGACTGTGGATTGAAATCATCTACTCTGATTATCAGTTGAACACGATGAGGAAAACAGTATTTCCACATACCTATCAATAACATGAAACTTTCTAAACCTGCTTCTGAACCAGTTCAGGAGACCCTGTTCTGCATAGAACTGAATCTTATAAAATCCTGCTTTGCTGATTTGCCCAATCTATCATCTTTTAAAACTTCTGTGGATGTTACCCAGGTTTCTGTGGAACCTGTGTTACAAATGTAATGCACAAGTTATCGGTACATCCGTTGCTTTTCTTGGTAACCAGATTGCACGTTGCAGAGTAAAATCCTGGCTTATCTCATATTTCTTTTCAATAATGCCAATGGGTTTCACATAGAGCCCAGTAATATTCATAGAAACTTAAAATGGATGTTTTTCCCCCCCTGAATATCTAAATAGGAAACATACAAGTTAAACTACAGTAACAAAAAACATGGAAAAGGTTACTTGGACTGGCTGGGAAATAATCTAACTAGTTTACTTTGTGATAACGAGATGTTGACTGAGCTTGTCCTTTATGGTAGCTTTTTGTGAAAGTGTTCATTATATGTTCTCAGAATTCCCAGTTTGCCACCAGCCCCAGAGGTTGAGGATCCAAGTTACAGATCTTAGGGCAGACAATTGTAGGGGAAGGTAGTTCAAGTAAATATTTAATGTAAGATGATCTCAAGGAACTATTTAGTGAGTAGTATTACTGGATTATTGAAGTCCATGGGGAACTTTGTTTAAACTGCAGCTGGAAAAACATTTGGATCAAGGACATTTAAATTTTGTCCAAGTCAGTCTACTTTTCCAAGGAGGGCAGAGCTATTCAAAATGGCTCCTGATTTAAGGGATATATTGTTCCGTAGCCTGTTGCCAGACTGATGTGCTGTCCAAGTCAGAACTGTACATCCCTGTACATTCACACTGCATTTCTCTACGACCAGACCCCTCAGGTTTTTCTAACCATCCTAAAAACCTTCATACCTTTGGTAAATACTTGGTCCCCTCTGGAAGCAGTATTTCAGCACTAGAGATTCTGAAGTAAGGAATTCTTAATGCTGGTGTCAAGAAAATGTAAGCTTTTTCTGAAGCAGGTTAGATAATATTGACTCTGTGTAGTTTGTGATATGGCTAGGAACTGGCAAAGGGTCAATTTGGGAATTGCCGTGCTTCTAAGTATTGTGTAACAGAGGTGAATTTTCTTCCATCCTTATAGCTCTGCATCAACTCAGCAGCACCTGAAGAAGGTCTATGCCAGCTTTGCATTATGTATGTTCCTAGCGGCAGCTGGTGCTTATGTCAATGTGGTAACTCAGCTGGTGCAGGTAAGAATTTTAAGGCATTTCTCTGTGGCAGATATATATAAGCTGAAGGTCCTCTTGGTTATTGAGGGCTAAATGCCAGCAGGAAGGCTGCAAAACAGTACATCCCAGCTTGTGGAAATAAACAGGACTACATCCTTTTGAGTGGTTCTCAACTGGTGCTTCGCGACTAGATGGCATATCCAGTGAAATGTTAAGCCTTTTAAACTTTCCACAAACATATCCTAACAAAAAGTCTCTAAATAAAGAAATGTTCTCAGACAGACTCAGAGGTCTTTGTTTCTGTTTGAAAGAGCTTTTTGTTTCTCTTGTGAAACTCAAGTGAGAAGTGGGACAGTAAGATAAGCCCAACGTTAGTGGGGAATTTAGGAATTCCGGTGAGGAGGCTGAAGAAACCGATCTCATTCGGTCAATTAGATGGGCCCGTCGCAGGGGGACGCCAGCCACGCTTGCCACACTGCCAGTCCAACTACCATAGGGCATCACGTAGAGACTATAACATTTGTAGTGACCCCTGGCATGGAATGCCCCCTTATTCTGGACATGGCATGGCTAACCCAATGGAACCCGCAGGTGGACTGGAGGACAGGAGAACTCAGGTTCCCAAATGGAAAAGCAACAAGGAGCCCAACTCAACCCCACACCGGTGGAAGCCCCTCCGAGAAAGCCGCAGTGGGGGGGGGAGAAGGAGTTGCAAGGCATCCCAGAGGAATATAGAGACCTAGTTGAAGTATTCAGCGGGGGAAAATCTGATGAGCTGCCTCCTGATCGGCCCACAGATTGCTCCATCGAGATCCACCCAGGCGCAAAGTTACCCAAAACCAAACTGTATTCCATGAGCCCACAAGAATTGGAGGAGATGCAGAAGTTCATAGACAAAAAACTTAGAAAGGGGGTTTATCCAGCCGGCCCCGTATTGCTCAGAGTCCTGCTCAGAGTCCTGCAAGAGTGAAAATTTCTCCACCAACAGAATCATTTGTTAATGTTTACTTTAAAGCCAAGCCCTACAGTAGTTAATAAAGTTTCAATTCTGAGAACGGTGTTCTGGAATCCATTTCAGATTTGGATATATCTTTGGGCCTCATATCCCATTTGCAGAGCAGAATTGTTACAGATTTCACTGGGGCTTATAAAATTGTCATAGAGTAATGGGAAACTGATGAAAATCTAGCTGTGTATTTAAAATATTTAAGATTGAAAGCATTCATGATTTAAGTAAAAACTGTCTGAATAGTAACAGAATTCCTCTTCCAAGAAACCAGCAATGCACAATACTGATTCCTTGCTTCCCTTCAAAAATCTGCACAGGGAACAAGTTCCGATGACCTGAATTTTCTTTAAAGGAGTGGGAAATGCAGCAAATGGACTTCAAATTGAACTGGCTCTTTCCTTTGACCAGACTGTGTTAAATCTCTGTCTTTCCCACTTTGTTTTGCAGTTTGGACTGCTGACTGGCCTGGGAGCATTAGGCCTTATGATTTGGTTGATGGCCACACCCCACAGCCGAGAAACCGAAGAGAAACGTCTGGCTATCCTGGCAGGCTTTGCTTTCCTCACTGGTACGTGCGGCTGGAGAAGCGAGAGCTGAAGGGAGCAGCAGGCAGTTAATACACATGTGCAACTGTGGAATTTCCATAAGCAAGAAAGACATTTTTAGCTGCTTCCTCTTGGCTGGGAGCTTTGCTGTGTAAGGGATGAAACGGTGCCATCAAGGCCACCAGAGGACCTGGCAGAATGGCAGTGATTATGGGGGGAGGGGGGGAAGCACTGGGCAGAGTTTACTTCAGGCATTAATGCTGCTGCCTAATGTCACACTACAGCCGAATGGCGCTTGTGTAGTCCTGTGTCTGAAAAGGAAGCCAAAAGGTTTTCCAGCCCAAAGGAAGAAAGGCAGCACCGAATGCTCTAAAACGAGGGATCCCTCCCTTGGGAATATATCTGAAATAACATAGAGCACCTTGTGACTTTCTGAATGTTTTTTGTGTGGCGTTTTTGCACCTCTTGTAGTCTTTTATGAGAGGAATGCCTGGGTAATCCATAACTTGTTTCTTTTAAATATGTTCACGTAACGAATGGGAAAAAATGATGGTGTGTGCATGTGCATGAGTGAGAAACATGTCTCTGAGTCTACATTCCTCTTCCAGGAGTCAACCTGGGTCCTCTACTGGAGATGTGCATTGCCATCAACCCCAGGTAAGGGGAAACTCAGCAGCTGCTCTGTTCTTTGCCACTTTTCACTTTGAAAGTGAGAAGCAAACATCCCGCTCACTAGTAATGGGGTGGGGCCCATTTGGGGCTGTTGCTAAACTCTTCCCATTGAAGCATCCAGATCCTTTCAAAGACTTTAAAAGTCAAAACCCTTTGAATATTTCTGGAGCACGTTCTGTTAATTCATAGTTCTGAGTCCTTCCTTCCATCCATCTCCTTAGGCATTCATTCTTGTCCCTTCCCTCCCTACAGCATCATCCCAACTGCTTTCCTGGGCACAGCAGTGATCTTCAGCTGCTTCTCCCTGAGTGCTCTCTTTGCTAAGCGCCGTGCCTACTTGTATCTAGGGGGTAAGCAGCAGCAGCTGCAGCAGCAGCAACCATTGTCCACTACATTTGAGGAGTCTGGGTTCATTTTTGTTCATTGTGTTTCTGCTTTTTTTTTTTTCTTTTCTTCAGGCGTCCTTTTCTCTGGCCTGTTCTTGATGCTGCTGTTCTCCCTGGTCAATATTTTCCTGGGCTCAACTTGGCTCTTCACGGTGAGTGGCTGCTGTTTTCAGGGTCCGTCAGCTTGAAAGTTGATAGCAACACAAGCCCCTGCAGCAAATCCGCCCTTTTGGACACAGAACTGGCAAGCCTACTGGGAGCAGCTGTTCAGATGTTCCCGGCTTCCCTTTTAGTTTATTATTAGAAGAGCAAGATGATTTGAGGATGTATACAGATTGCGGTATTTTGCATTGCATTCTTTAATTATGGCTGCAGATGAGTAATTATCCAAACATCTGATTATACAGAAACCTCTGGCATTGGAAAGCACCTTCTGTGAGCTTTTAGGTATTCTGAAGGGTTTTTTTTTTCAGGTATTTTATTGGATGCAATGTTTAGATATACAAAATAACTAGAAAGTTACTGTCAGAAACAAAAATGGAATTAATGCTGACATTGTGAATAATGAATTCATTGCTTGATGCCACATTCTGCTCTAATTCATGAAGAGATCTGGCTCTGAATATATTGAAGCTGGGAGCTAACACAGAATCACTTCGGGCTCTTAGTAGGTTGCAGCAGGGCCAGCCTATGCCATTGGAGTTATTTTGCCTAATTCAGAGGTCACCAACCTTTTCAAGCTGGTGACCCAGAGGGAAAGGGAGCAGCTGGGAAACTTGCGCGTGTGCGTGCGAAACGGGGCCACGCGCAGCCACACGGCATGAGAGGCCCCTTTTGCCTAGGCGTGCAGGCGCTAGCCGCCACTAGTCCCTTGCGCATGTGCAAATGGGCCGCACAACCTGCACGGGGCTAGTGCCCCCATTTGTGCATGCGCACAGGCGCTGGGTGCTACCGCTACCCCCCGCATACATGCACAAACAGGCCACAAAACTTGCACGGCACTAGTGGTCCACATTTGCGCATGCGCACAGGCACTAGCCGCCGCTGCTGCTAGGCCCCGTTTGTGCATGTGTGCAGGTGCTAGCCACTGCCAGCTCCATGTACAGGCGCAAATGGGTCTGCAGGCGCTAGTGTGAGTGGGTGGGTGTGCATGCACTGGTCAGCCTGTCCTGTGGCCCATTGGCTACCCCTGGTCTAATTGGTTTTCTTCCTCCTCCAGGCTAATCTCTACATTGGACTTATGGTTATGTGTGGCTTTGTGCTGTTTGATACTCAGCTCATCATTGAGAAGGCTGAGAATGGAGACAAGGACTATATCTGGTGAGTGTGTTTGTGACAAGCCTAGGGCTAGGCAAGAGAAGTGGAGAGGAAGGAGCTGCCACATATGATAAGGGTTTACAAGTGAGGAGAGTAAACAGGAGACATAGACGAGCTTCTCTCTTGGGTTCAAAATAAAAGAGACTTCGCTTGGAGGAAAGCAGGGAGGCTAAAAGCATTATGGTAGAAAAAGCCAGAGTTAAATATGGAAGCAAAATCTCAAATGAACTCTGGCCATAGAAGATGGTACATTGTTGATTATGAATAAAACAATAGAGCGGAGAAGAGGCTCTGGCAAAGCCTCCCATTTGTAAGTTTAGGATATAACTTGATGTACAACCTTTTTCTCTTTGTGCCAGGCACTGCGTGGATCTTTTCCTGGATTTTGTTAACATCTTCCGGGAGCTCATGGTCATCTTGGGCATGAACGAGGTAGGTCTGCATGCATGGGGCCGTCTCTGATGCACGTCCATTAGGATGCACCATTTCCCACAAAGACAAGCAAGAAGCCCCAAGATAGTGGTGGCGAACCGATGGCACGGGTGGCATTCAGAGCCCTCTCTGTGGGCACCCACGCCCTCGCCCCAGTCCTAGCCCTTCAGCGGGGTTTTATAAAACCTTTTCGCTTCAGGCCTCCGCTGCCGTGTGCAAAAAAAAAAAAGTTTAATCGGTCAATTTCAACTTCTCGCAGGGAAAAAAAGATCTTGCAAAGTTGGAATTGATTGATTGAACTTTTTAGTCCCACCCAGTCTGCCATTACCACCACAGCCACGTCCACCCAATGGGCCACACCCAGCCAATGGGCCACATCCACCCAGCACCCAACGATGCATAAGTGGGTTTTGGGTTGCAGTTTGGGCACTCAGTCTCTAAAAGGTTCGCCATCACTGCCCTAAGAGTTCAAGTGCAGGGTGTTTCCATTGAGAGGCAGATGCTTTGGGAGAGAAACTTACTTCTGCTTGATAAAAGCAGGTGACTTTTCTAAGCAAACCTACCTGGAACGCCCCCATTTCTTTTCAGCACGTCATCTTTTTTACTTCACATTAATAGGACCATTATAGTAAATGCTTTTAGCTGGTACCTTCTCCTGTAGGCTCATGTATGAAATATAAGCCCGAAAGGAAAGCGGAAGCTTTACAAAAATGGGGAGGACTTTTTTAAAATAAAAAAATAATTTAAAATATAAGCTCAGAAAAAAGAAAGAGCTGAATAATACATTGAAGAATAAGTCATCACAGATGAGTCAAATGAAAGCTTGGTCCATATGCATAATGAGCCGTGCAGGAAGTGAAAGACAGAGCATAGGGATGAAGGTTTATTAAGAGTAGGGAATGAAGATGGAGGGACTGAGGAGTAGGAAGGCTTGGTTCCATGCAAGGTAGTGAGAGGAAAAACTGATGGAGATGGCATGTTATCAATGTGAAGTTAATCTTCCATGGCAGCTGGGCCATTCTGGAAACAGACACTACCTTTGTCCCAAAGCCATGTTTCAAAGTCCCTCTTCCCCACAGCCCTGCCCCGTCCTAGCTTCAGGCTTCATTGCTTGCTCATTCAACAAGGAAGAACTATTTGCAACTTGTACTTTCATACTATTTTCAGGATGGCACATTTAAAAAAATTGTGTAAGAATTAAGGGAGAGTGGGTGGGAACTTCAAGCTGTGATCTAGGTGAGCAAATACCACTTGTTACAAAATGTCCTTTAGTAATTAAGATGCCCTTGGTTCATCACCTCTTTTCATCCAAGTGATCACCCGATTTCTCCATTGGTTAGCAGAATTGGGTGTATATTGTTGCACCAGCATTCTAACCTAGAAGCCAGGAAATGTCTCTTAACTGGCATGGGATCCCAATCCAGGTCATTGTGTCCAGGAGCTCCGAGCATTGACAGTGAGTTTTGTTTCTTTCAGAACAAGAAGAAAAAAGAAAAATAAAGTAAAACCAGATGCCTGCGTGGAGATTCCTGTTTCTTACCCCCCCCCTTTTCCTCTTTCTTTCTTGCTTCCATCCAACTTGATCTGCATTAAAGGTGACCCCGGTTCTTCTGTGTGAATGAGAAGCATCTGTGACATTTTCATACTTTGTGGAAATTGGATTTTTTTTTCCTTGGTTTTTGAGCCTCTTGAAAAAGCTAATTGGCTGATTCTAATGCTGGAGTCTGGCTTTGCCCCACTTCTACATAAACAAATATCCCACTTCCCTCTTCTGATCATCAGAGGCCGAGTTCATATCTGTATTGTTGGTAAATGACCTGGCAGTTTTCACTGGGGTAGCTTAAGTCCCTTCCATTTTTCTATTCACCTCCGATTGCATTCAAATTTTAGTGAGAGCAGAGCAGGGGCGAAATTGCCTCTTGCTGGTGTTGATGATGCTCTGAAATTGCTGTTGAAATATTTGCCTGATAACTAGGCTGACCTGTCTACAGGGGTTTTAAAGAGATGGATGTTGCTCAACTTACTTCCTCTAGGATGGCTGGAGGGGGGAGAGGGAGGAAAGAAAGATGCAAAGCTACAAACTCTAGTTGTAGATTGAAAAACTCCAACATATTGGAGAGCCACTATGATCTGATCCATCATGCTAGGTCCCCCCACCTTCATTTTGCCACCGGTTAGCAAAAACTAACTTGTGCAAGTGAGAAATTGTTGTCTGGCACTCATCTCAGTTTTTAACAACTGCTGACAGGTTTTTTTTTTTTTGTTGTTGTTTGTGTGTTTGTCTTTAGATAGGTGTCAGTGTGGTAAGGTCTGGTCTGATTTAATTGCATTCCTGATATTTAATTATTTGAGTTTGCTGAGGAGGAGGAGGAGGATGAACCCAGTACCTTGAACTATTAATGGGACTGAGCAACCTGGGTCAGCAAGATGTCAGGGTGACATGTGGCTGCCTTTTCCTTTTTAACCTCTGGGAATGAATCCTACAGCAAATGGGTTGGAGGGAATTGGCTGGATATTGTATAATGGGAACGGTATTCCTACATCCTGGAGAAACTGGGATCGGTGCACTTGGTATTAAAAATGGCTCCCTCTACATGCCCATTAAGCTTTCCTTGCAGCTAACCAGATAACGTTTCTCCTGTTCTTCTCGGCATCTGAAGCCAGGCTCCAGTTTTGCTTGCTTGAGAAAACAAATTTTTTTTTACTTCCTCCGTTCTTCATCCCTCCTTCCCCCTTGGAATAGTGCCAAGAACTAAACTGCAAGAATCTACTTCATAGAGACCTTGTCTAACAGGGTTTAATAGAGTAAGCTCTGTCGCTCTTTGGATGGCCAGCCCTGGCTGCATTCTTTAGCCGCCTACTGTGAAGAGACAGGGTTTTTGAACAACAACAACAACAACAAAAAAGGTGTTTTGATTCAAATAAAATTTACATTGTCTTGCTTTGTATGGGAAAAAATATTAAAAAATCCTCAAACTTTACCACGTATCGGTTTTATTTTCATCAAGACTGTTTCAATCAGCTTCTAGTTGCTTGGAAATTATGGTAGTGAATTTCAGGTCCTTGGGAAAACTCAACTTGTTTCAGCATTCCCCCCCCTCCCATTTTCCCTTCAGAATCCTGCTTTGCTCAAACGGCTGTTACCTTGTTGCCGAAAAGGTCTCCAAAGGAAACCAACCTGCTTGCAACCTTGGTCACCAAGCTTGGCACTTACTGGATGGTGATGCAAGGGCTGTGCAATGCAGTGATGCTGTTTACACTTTGGATCACTAGGCGGTGCCAAGGATCTGCAGAGCCGCTGAAGCAGAAAAAAAATGCCCTTTTGCCATTCTGACAATAATGCTGTTGTGCCAAGCTTTATTTTTTTTGGGGATGCCTTCACTGGAAGCTTAAGCTTTTGTAGGACTCCTGTTGAGTCCCTGGATGTATGTCAAGATTTCTTGTTCCCCTTCCAGTGCAACCTGCCTTCTGTAAGCTTAAGCTAATTACAGAGCTGTGATCTAGGGCAAATGTCAACATCTCTGCAATTAGCCGAGGTCTGTAGGAAGCTGGTGGCTCAAGTACTTTAAACCAGCAGGTTTGCCCATTCCTATCCATGCCAGGCGATCAAACCGGTCAGTCCTAGAGGAGATTCAACCCTGACTGCTCTTTAGAAGGCCAGATCCTGAAGTTGAAACTCAAGTACTTTGGCCACCTAATGAGAAGGAAGGACTCACTGGAGAAG